GTGTGTGTGTGTGTGTGTGTGTGTGTGTGTGTGTGTGTGTGTGCGTGCGCGTGTGCGTGTGCGTGTGTGTATGAGATACCCTTTATATTAGCTCTTATATACTTCATTCTTTTTAGCTTTGTCCAAATTTAATTTGTTGTATGTTTAATTTTTTTTTAAATTATTTTAATTTATATCTCAAGTTTGCATCAATAATTGCGGAATTTATTGTAATTTTATAATATTTACCACCGTTTTTAATCACTATGTGATCGTCGCATTTGTTACTATAGTGCATGAAAATTTTATTCACGAATATATATAACATAAAAAATGAATGAAATAAAATTGAACACCAATTCACTAAAGATCTTGTCGGCAGAATCTGTAGACGTTTCCTCAACAACGACAACGACTACAACCATGATCTCAGTAACTTCAGATTCCACGAAAGACGGTTCAAACTTCCGGGATGCGTTGACACCAGCTCCGGAGTCATCGACATCTGCAAGCACAAATCTAATGGCGCTGGAAGAATCCTTTGGTGGTACCACTCGTGCACCGGATCCTGTTCTACCAACTAAACGAAGAAACGGTCTATATTTTCTCGTAGACTGGAATACTTTCCTTGAGGTCGGCGATGAAGATAGCGAGAAAGTGAACCTCAGATTTGAGCCAAAAGTTGGCGATAGAACGAGATTTCTGCCAGTCAGCGTGCCGTAATTTACAAAAATATACTAATTTTAATACAAAATTATTTTTAAAAAACGTCAATTTAATCTACATATTCTAATATTTATCAATTTTACACATTAAAAATATTATACGTATGTAACATTATCTATATATACCTATTGTATATACGAAGGACGTTTAATAAGTAATGCAACACATTTTTTTCTCATTCAAGGTTTGTTTTGTTGCAGTTTTAAATACATCATATTTTTCCCCAATTATTTGGCTACAAAAATCCATTTTTCGAGATAATTTCCATTTAATTCTATAACCTTATACGCCACCTCGATATAAGGGCCTGTATGCCCTTACGATACCATCACTCTGATGGGTGAGGAACGACAATCCAACCTACAGCTTGGATTTTTTATCCTTTTGCCTCTTATCTCTTTGGTCCTCTAAAAAGATGCAATCTACGAGAAGAGATATGGCAATGACAAAAAAGTTATAGTTTAAGTAAAAAAGTGGCTGACAATGGCTGCGTTCGGACAGCGCGCTATTAGCATAATGCTATACCTATATACAACGTCATTTTATTTCTTTATTTTATACTGAAATTATTATAATGTAAATAATTATATTAGCTGATATAATTTAATTTCTTCTTATAGCTTCATGTTTAATTCAATTTTCTAAAAAATAAATCGGTTGAAACCGAATGTAATTGTCAAATGCATGTTATAGTACGATTATTAGAAAGTATGGCATTATTTGTAACACGTAGTAATTTGTGTGTAACTTGACGGCATCGACCTGCGACATACATAAAAATATTTTTGCAAAGAAATTGGTAAATTGGAAAATACAATTAATTTAATTATATAATGTATAACAGCTGTTTATATTTTAACTTTAATAAAAATATAATGAATAAGAAATATAATAAATACTGCAAATATATAATCATGTAAATAAAGAAATCATGTAAATAAAAAAATAACACATAAATGTAATTAAATAAGAAATTTGAATAAATAGTTATGGAAAACATGATCTCCTTATATTAATTTCGCACAGAGGATATATAACATGTTCAACATAATAAGAATTTATTCTGTTTTTTAACAAAAATAAAGATAAAAGATAAGAGTATAAGAGATAAATTATTACAACTTAATTAAAATTAACATAATTAATTAATATTGACATATATTAACATAAATTATCTTATAATTAATATTAACATATTGTAATAAAAAAATTAATTACTATGTTTATATTCCACATTATTATATTAATATTAATTATTAATCTTGAACAATAAAGTGATAATATTATGTATGTTAAATATAAATATTGTATTTATACGTAGATATTATTTAGTTATAAAATAGATAAAAATTAAGAAAATTGCTATATTTTATTAATAAATTACTTAAAAATATTATAAAAAAAGATGGCAAATAATATTGTTATTAATTTAAACACGAAATTTCAGTCTTCAGCCGTTAATTTGGAGAAATTTATAAGTTAGATGTTGGCACACATCAATCAATGGCCCAATGTCAGCCCAATGAAAATCAAAATATTGTGAGTCGTACAATGTACAAATATTTACGCGACACTGGTCATGAGAATTTCACGCGTCACGAGAATTTCAGTTCAGTCTCAGTCTGTGTTCAGAATGTTACCGAGTAAAGATCTTGCTATATGTTTCCTTATTTTATGGATTTTCGTAAATAACGCAAAATGCCAGGATTTAAAAGAAATGTCTAAAACATTGGACGAAATGCTCGTCAATGGCAGATCATTTCGAAGACCCCGAGACTACGAAGATACATCAGTAATTTGGCAAAAGAATGAATTCGGTGCTGAAGCTGGAAATCGAGAAGGTAAGTTATTATATTTTCAAATAAATAAATTAAATTAAACTTAAAAAAAATTTAATATTGATGAATGCAAAAGTTAAGCACAATTCCTTTCTAATTTTTCTAAATCTTGTATAATAAAAGAGAAAAATTTGATTTGAACATAATTAAATCAGAATTGATCAAAATGTAATCAATACAGTTACTTTACTAATTAACTTTAATTAACTTTATCATAGCGGAAAAATTCTAAATTTATTTTGTATGCGTTTTTGTGTTTTTGTGCGTATAACTCTCGTAATATATAAAACACTTTAGTACAAAGGAAAAATCACGTGTCCTATTTCGTTATTAGAGTAAATCTTCAAGTTTTTCATATTGGCTATTTCTGAATAATGTGAAATAATTTAGAATAATCTGAGAGAGTCTTTCTATTTTCAGAAGTTGTTGTGACAAATATTTCATTGCATACACTTGGTGATATAACTGAAAAGATTGACATATCAATAAACAATTGGCAATTTTTGCAAACAGAAACAAGTTATTTTATTAATGCCGAAAATTCGACATTGCTTTTCTACAAGATTAATTTAGACGATTTGTCAATCGAACGTATTATAAGTATATCGACTGAGGGGCACATATTACAGTTTAAAGTTCTCCATTTCAATGTCGAAGCAACGTTTAATGAAAATCACGCAAGCAATTTAATGGCAATTCTACTTGTTGAATCCCAGTACGGTTATTTTCTATATTGGTATAAAATTTTTGGCAATACATACATGTTGTATTCAACATTGCCCGTACGGAAGCAAATTCAAGACATGGAATTCGTGCGAGAAGAAAATCAATATGAATTATTGCTACTCGACAATGATGATGCATATTTCAAAGGACAATCACTGATCGATGTTTATGGTTTCGATATTGATTATAATAATCATCGTATCGATATATGGTAATTCCTTTTACTCAATGCATGTTGCTTGCTTCACTCTTTGTAAAATATCATATTATATACATAAAATGTACTTTATAATTTTTAATCAAATTTTGCAAGGTTTTTATACAAGATTTATTAATGAGCTCTTTCATAAAAAAGAAAGACATTAAAGAACAAAGAAAATTTACAATAGCAAGCACTAATTATATATATTATATATTAAATTATTAAATAACATTTGTCACGCGTTAATACCTTTTTAACTTTTATGCTTGCAATTTTGATATCCCAAGTTTTCCAAAAAACCTTAGAAAAAGGTTCTAGTATTTCTGGTTCTTTTTTCCAAAAGAATCAAAAATCCCTTTTTCAATTACAATTTTATAATGCTGATATTTTAGACATATCTAACATACGTTATAAAGTCAGAGAGGGAGAGAGAGAGAGAGAGAGAGAGAGAGAGAGAGAGGGAGAGAGAGAATAATATAAATGTGTAAATACAATATTTGTACAGGTTTTGTCGGCGATTATTTCTTCCAAAAGTATTCAATGTTCAAGTTTGCCCAGTTTATGGACGCATTATATTGGCTTTTCAAGGAATCGATAACGTTGTTCTATATGAGTCGAAAAATGAAGATAAATTGTGCCAGTTTGAAAAATTAGAAGTTATCAAATCCAACAAACTCGCAAATTTTGCTTGCTTTGAAAGCGGTTATATTGAATACTTAGCAATTGGTGGAGAAGAACTGCGTTTATTTCACTTTTTTGAGAACAATTTTCAAGATAACGTTGAGACAAATCTGCATTTCGATAGTAAGACGATAAGACGATAATTTCTGGCACAAACATAAAACAAACAGAGATAAACAATTTATTTTACAGAAACAACCGAAATTTTATGGATAGTCACGATACCACTAAATACATATAGGGATGAATCTTTGTTACTAGTTCAATTTAACAATTTAACCGTAACCGCTTTGGCTTGGCACGGATCAAAGTTTAAGGTCGTGCCTTTATCTAATCAGATTTTAAATAACTTTGATCTGTCAAAAATTATCGTTATTCCAAAAGTCGGATTCGTGCATACAAACACGCTTGTACGTATAGACGTGACCTTAAAAGAATCAGCGCATCCTATTCATCATGAGACGGAAAGCGTGTTAAAAACACGAGTTTTGTTGGAAGTACGTTTGCACATTTCACTCACTTCTTGTGTATAACATTGCAAATGATAATACATTATCCAATAAGATTTTAATGTATGTTTAAATGTATGAAGTAAAACATTTCGTATATGTTTTGTATATTGTTTCGTTTATACATGTTTATATACATATATATAAACAAACAATAAATATATATATATATATATATATATATATATATATATTATAATTATTATTATTATTAATATATTATTATATGTAATGCATCGAAATAAATATACAAAATATAGGTATAGTAAAAGGTATAATATAAAATATAGTTTATGCATGTCTGAAACTATTTTTATAAAATTTTACATTACAAAATGAGGTATAAATTTTCAGGAAGTTTTTCGAAAACAGGAAGCCATCTTTGATGAGACTGAAGCACGGTTTAATCAAAGTTACTTTGAGAATCCTATAACAACAGGATTTTGGAATCTTTCGAAAGTAAATGTATCGAACGCTACAATCAAAACACATGTAAATTATGACGCTGTCAAAGTCGGCTCGATCAATTTAGAAATGAAAGATATATCGATAAACGTGACATCAAATTTAAAGAAATTAGAAGAATTAGAAACGGAGCTCGATCAAATTTTACCAAACTTGAAGAACGTGACTAATGCGACAAGAATTACCTTACCGTCAGATATCGAATTAACTGGAGATTTTCTGGTGAATGGTACTCTATATATGAAAAATATAGCTGCCGCTTTTATTAATAATGCATCAACTTCAATCATAGCGAACGGTATTACAAATCACGTCATTATCAACGGCCAGAAATCTTTTCCTTCAATCGACACCAATAATTTAACGATTCTCTCTTTAAATGGCATACCATTGGAAAAAATTGCGTTCGACTTTTCAATTAAAAATTACAGCGATGTAAACTTTTCAAAGTTAAAGCAATTAAAGATTGACGGACACTTAAATTTTTCCAAAATAAATAGTATTAAGTGGAAAAAGCTGATGCAAAGTATAGTTTGGAAAGATGACTCGACAATTATTTCTGGAGAGACAATTGTGGAAGGGGTAAGGCAATATAATCACAGAGAATTATAGTACAAAACACGCAATAAATCTTAATAACAAAACAAATTTTTTCTTATAAGAAAATAGAAAGTAATATTATATTCATGGTTACGCAAAGTTTTTGAAAATATGGTCTTGTGCGCGAAATTAGGATGCCTCTAATGCAATAATAAAAAAGAGTTTGTATTTTCTACTTCTTTTTCTTTTTACGAAAAATCGCCAGTTGTATCATTTTTATTTGACGTTTTACTTTTGACGTCTGTACTAAAAACTCATTATCTGCATAATGTTTTCTCGTTGATAAAAAATAATATTTTTCAACAGCTTGTCGCTGAAGAAGCTAATGTTAAAAATCTTAATGGTTTGCAATATCCAGAGAATTATGTTCTATTAAATGAGCAATTTTCTATCAACATCACGGGTAAAAAGTACTTTGGCAATCTGTCTACGACACATTTGCTGGACATCGAGGCAATAAACAAAATAGATATTGACGATTTCATTATTCTCAGCAGACATGAAGCTATTAATAAAGAAATTACTTTTGAAAATCTGGAAATTGATGGAATCTTTCAGGTAAGATTTTTAAACATACATATAAATATACATATTACAATTGGGTAAGCGTAAAAGATTGTTACAATTTTAGATCGATGGAAATATAACGGGTATTAACATGAGCAACGTAGAGAACCTGCTTAACGAAACCGATAGTCTTGTATCAGATGTTATTTTTGAAAATCTGACCGTTGTGGGAAATATTGTACTCAAAGATTCAATTAGTGCTAAAGTATGGTCGAATCTCGACGATTTCTTATTAAAAACTGAAAAAGATGCAGTAATTATTGGAAATAAAATATTCTGGAATGACGTCAACATAAAGTCTCACCCAATAATTAAATCTAGACGAATTAATGATCACTTTTTCTCGGAATTCGTAACAACATTAAGCACCAATCAACAGTTTCCTCGTAAGTATAATAATCAAAACTTATTAAAGCTTCTAAACATTATTCAATTGTAAATTGTCAAAATTAAATATCAAATGCTTTATCTATAATATATAATGAAGCTATCTATTATGAAAGACAAACTAAAGAATCGATTTTTTAAAAACACTTTTTGTTTTCTCTTTGTATGTAACATCAAAATAGAATTAAAAAGTAAAAGAAATATTATAATGTAATTGACAGCATATCTGAATCTTTTTGAAAATAGTTTTGAAAAATAATTATACGTAATATAATGAAATTGCCCTATTTTGCGTTATAAAAATTTTATTTCAACGATACCAATTTCAGATTTGACAAAGATATCAGCAAATGTCATGTTTGGTAATGTAACTCTTGGCACTATGAAAAAGTTGGAGGATTATGTAACACACGAACAGGCTATCGCTTCTGGTTGCTTAAACAAAATACTATTGTTTATTAAATCATCTGTTATCGACAATTTGTCTTTTGATACCATAAAGCAGACTATTTCGCAAACTACTTTCTTCGACAAAATAAATAAAACTTTTCAACAAGTGTATTTCGAGAATTTGACAATCTCGACATTACTGACTGATGAGGTCTTGCCGAACACAATCAATGGAATCAACTACACTGATTTGGCTAAACGCGTGTTAACACTCTCTACGCGGCAGAATTTGACAGGCGCTTTAAAAGTTGACAATTTGGAAACTGACATTTTAGATGCAGAAATTATCAACGGAATACCATTAAATACATGGAATCTATTATTCACGCACGCGAAATCACTTTACGATGACGTTTTCGACGGAAAGTCATCAATAACATCTCTACGAGTGACAGGGATAATAACGGCGTCTACGATTAATAACAATGACATTATTGACATTTACGAGGAAGATAATATGGCGACTGTTACTTTCAATAAGAACGTGTCGATCAAAAATTTGAGAATACGTGGCTTCATAAACAATTTGAACTTGTCTGAATTTATCGCTGATACAGTACAGAAAACCGATAGGAATATTACATTTATAGATCGCAAAATATTCAAAAATATCACATGCGAATTTTTAGAAGCGCAATTTATAAATGGACATTTTGTGAACGATAGCTTGGATCCAAATGAAAAACAGACACTAAGAGGACCAATTGTTATAAATGGTATGTTGCCTATATGTATATGTATGTATGTGTATAACAAAGTTGTGAAATTCTTTTATGTATTTTCTCAATTCATCTTTTTACCTTTATTATTATATTATTTTTTATTATTATATATTAATGACACTTGAAAATATATAAAATACAGTTATATTTTTCACGCGCGCGCGCGTGTGTGTGTGTGTTCTTTATATTATTGCTATCGTGATTTATTACATCATTATCAAATGGTTAAATCTAATTGTAAGTTTATTATAGACCAGGCTGATTATAATTATCTATATTTTCTAATATTTTACCTATAATATTGTTTACTTATATGTTTCTCTTTCTAATATTTTTATATTTACTTTTTTATTTTTATTGTTAGTAATAGAAATTAATTTTTGTCTTTTTTTTTAGGTTCGGTCACGGTTTTCAAAAATTTCAATACAACTGGCAAGATTGGAAATTCTGTATTCTTAAACGATTTCACGGATAGATTTAAGACACTTGAGGATAGCTCTTATGTTCTTCGCGGTAATTTTTACTTTACTGAAACTGCCTCCGTAACAAAACTGAACGTAAGTGGATCAATTCAAGGATCAAAGTTGGACAGTTTCCTCGAGACAACAATCTTTAAGAATGACGCAAATGTTACAATATCTGGATTGAAATTATTTAAAAATTCAGTTAAATTTAATGGTGCATTTAACATCGATGGCAGCTTGAACGATTTAGATTTACATAGATTTCACGAAAATGTTGTTTGTATCGATAAACCTTTTTCAATTGATACCAAAGTCATGTTCCGAAAAGATGTTCATCTACAAAAAAGTCTCATAGTAAAGACAAAATTACAAGCAATCACCATTATGGGAGTTGATATAAAAGATTTGCAGGAGAATGTTATCGACCTTAATAAGCCCAAATATTTTCCAGGTAATTATTTTTTATTCTTTACGGATAATGGAAGAAATGTATATGTATATAGGGGAACCCGGGGCATAAAGCTAATGTTTAAACAAGTTTAAAACATATTAAAAATAAATAAATAAACTTGATGTTGCACTAAAATATTCTTTGAAATATCCACTATAAGAAAAACACAAGTTTTACCGCGAAAGAATAATTTAAAGAGACGAAATTATTGTTTTATTGAAAGCGTGAGTTTTATTATGCATTTTATGCGAGGCATAATAGGATATCTCACAAAACTTATTTATTAATGTTCAAAACTTCTTAAAAATAATTTATTAGAACACGCAATTGTTTATTAATAACTAATAACACTTTTCTTATTACAGTATATGTATACATTTTTCTTATTAAAATATAAATAAAAATCAAAATTTGATATAATAATCTTTGGCATCAATATTGCGCAACATAACAGGTATTTACTGACAGCGTATGGAAAAAAAATAAAACAATTTAAAAACACGAGGCATTATGCCCCGTTATAGCCCGACATGTATAAGTTTACTTCGGGTAATATAAATCATCACGGATAATCGATATTTACACAACTAGTTTACTAAATTAACAAGAAAAGACTGAAGTTTAGTAACGTAAATGTACTTGTAGTAATGTAGTAATAAAACGTAGAATTTTATTATTGTTTACTTATGCAAATGTACATCAAAGAAACTGCAACTCACATTGTCAGTCGCGGAGAGCACAGCGAACGCATTAAACAATTTGCATCTTTTAGCTAAAAATCACATGAAAATTGATAACAGCACGCGGTTAGAGACGTCTAAATATAATAATTTCCAAACATTTTATTACATGGCAGCATCTCTGGTAAAAAGGTATCGACCATATTCCGCATTATGCCCTAGGTTCCCCTAAAACCGGTTCTACATTGGTCGTATCGTAGCGCATAAATCGTAAGAAATTGACCAATCACAGTTGATTATTCTCCTTAAATTCGACTGTAATTGGTCAATTTCTTACGAATTATGTTACGATACGACCAATGTAGAACCGAGGTAAGATAGATAATAACGGGGCTTCTTAAGAGTTCATAAGTAGTACACATAGAATATTGACTATTTTTATAACAATTATACAATTTTGTCGCGTAATAAAGAATATTTTTTATTTCAGCACGATGGACATTCGACAATGTAACTTTTCAGACAAACATAAAAATTATGCAGGTCAATGATTTACAAATGGATCTGTTGATTTTGTTAAATACGCAACAGTTTATCATGGCTGATAAACTTAATTGTACTAATATTATTGTTCGAAACATTCAGATATCAGGACGTATTAACACCTACTATATAGAAGATATCTATGCAGACACTTTTATGGTATAATAAAAATAAAATTAAAATAAAACTTATATTGTTTAGAGGATGCGTTTTTAGCTAATAAATAATGTTGATGATGGTGAAGATATTCCGATATATGTATTATAAAGTAACATAGATTATTTAGCTGTACTTCAGTCTTTTTTTCTTCAACATTTACTGTATATATTACAATTTTCTGTTCTATTCTATTTATTCAAACGCATAATTCATGTCAAAATTAATACTGCACAATTAAAATTTTAAAATTAATAGTATTTAATTTTATAGGTATATGGTAATCAGAATATTACGGGATGCATAAAAATACGAGGAAATGTTTATGCATATCATGACTTTAACGCTCATCTGATCAATAATTTTAACCCTACGAAAATTGTTTCTTTAACTGCAATCGATACTCTAACGGGTAAGAAGCTAATGAAAGTATATACACTATCGCTCAAAAGTATTTGCCACCTTAAAGAAATTTGATTAGAAATAAGTTTATTCATTTTAATGAAAAAATCAATAAATTGCTACATGTCTTTATTACATAGGTAGTTACATGCTATTTAAACAATGTTAAACAATGAAAAAAAAATTAGAATTTTTCTATTTTTTCTGGGATAGTGAATACTTTTCGGGCGTTAGTGTAAATGAAACAGGATGAGTTTTAAACAATATATTATAAAATTTTCACGTGCCATCTAAGCGTTTAGTATATGTATACAATACATTGCATCTTTCTTAATTCTATAATGCATATCGCCCGCGCGATTTTTCGCTCAAAACGAGAATACGCTATTATCCCTCATTCAAATAAGCACTCTAACAATGACAATTAATTTAAATAATATACTTGCATAATTTTTGTTTAGGAAACTTTATGTTCAAAACTCCAGTTGTTCTCAATAAAAGTCTTAGAATTTTGGGTCTTCTGAACAGAATAAGTCCAATTAATTGGCAAGGAGTAGCAATAAAGACAACAAATGAAGCAAAACAGATTATATCTGGAAAGTGGAGAGTGTATGGAAATGTCTACTTTGAAGCACACGTCGATGGAAATGAGTTTTTGAATAAAGTTAATGTCATCGACATATCATTGACTTCAGCAAGAGAACATCCTGAAATAGATCACGTTATTGAGGAAGCATACGTAAGAAAATTGTAGTACTAGTGTAATAGTTAATAAAATAAATATATATTGATTTTCTTGCAATTATAATAACACCTTCTTTACTTGTGAGTATGCTTTGTATAAAAAAACCACTGCTCTCGCTTGCTTATGTTACAAATATAACTTTATTCTTTGCAGGAGGATTTAAATAACGTGTGTGCATTGCACTTAGATATGCTCAAATGCAATGCTGTAAACCAGATATATAAATTCCATGCGTTTGATTATCTAAAAATCCAAGAATTCGAAGGAGATATTCATGATATCCGTAATGTCGAAGTAAATGATGTGGATTATATATTAGTAAATTATAACATTTGCCATACAACACTTCTATCGTATACTCAAACTGATTTTCAAGTGATCGATAAAGTGTCCAATTTTGGATTAATTGATCAATGGATGTTTTTTAAATCGAATCACGTTTTATATTTGCTTACCATCGCAAAACGCTCCTGCGGTAGAAGCCTTAACAATATATGGAAATTGGAAAATAATAGATTAATGGTATGTTGATTGCAATGCATAGGCACACACGTAAACGGAAAGTGATGCACGTTAAAATTTATATATTTATAAGTAAAAAATTCAAAGTTTTGTTTTTCTCAATTAAACAAACATATAAAGAAACATTTATAACATAAGTAGTTTTTGCTTAAAACAAGTTCGGCTAATTTTGTTTTATTATTATTTTTTCTCTTACAGCATGTATTAGAACTTGGTAATGCCACAGACATGAATTTGTATCAAGATGAATTTGTAGCAATAATTCGAGAAAATTTTGAAGCAAAATCTGAAAATGTTACACAGCCGGATGTATTAAAAGCTCTCATCTCGTCGAAAAATGAGGAATTAAATTTTGTTTCAAATAGCAATCTTATTGTGCTAGCCAACCAACCCTTAACTTATGAACTGCAAGAAAGATCTTTAAACGGCACTCGTATAAAAAATTGTCTCGGTTGTGGCAGCCTATTGACTTTCAAAGTAGGTATTTATGGAAAAGAAGAGTACATCCACTACGATGAAGAAATCAGCCAAGATTATATATATGTGAGTTGAAAAGAGTTTTCATTTATGTCTTATTACTTATTATTACGTAGCTAGTTTTATAACTCGACAATTGCTATTTATTACAAAAGAATAACGTTACATAGAAATACGTATTTCCTTTCCACGAAACATAAACTTGTGCTATTCTGTGCGTAGTGTGTTGTGATATAATCTTGTCATAATATGTTGATCATTTTATTTTACCTAGCTATGCAAAAATGATATTTCACAAACAAGGATCTTGCAGACTATAAAAGCACGTCGACCAAAATCACTTTTAATTCTAAATTTTGGTGGATCTGTCGAAACATTGCTTGTTTTCGTAGAAAATAATGATATTATTCAGGTTTACGAATATACAGGTAAATTTATATTACAGAATTAACAGAAAGTAAAAGAGATTAAAGAAAAAAGATATTTATTGTAATTATAAATTAATATGTTACATTTTGCAAAATTATTTTTTAGGTATTGAGGGTTTTGTGCATCGAAATATGATACAAATAAAAATTGATAAGTTATACAACTTTAAAGTAAGGAAATACAACAATTTAGAAAAAAGACACTGTTTAGCTGTAGTTCACAAAAATCGATTAACAATTTTAGAAGCAAAAATGTATGGCGAAAAATTAGATTTGAGAACATTAGCTATGGATTCTTGTTATACGAATGCGTGCTAAATATATTAAAAATATAATTATATATATATATATATATATATATATATATATAAAATTCTATTGTATAACATAAAAAATTTCTATTGTTAAGAATTGATAAAAATTGGCACATAGCATAAAAAAATGTAGTTTAATATATTAAACCAGATTAAGGGGCTTCCCTAGTGTGACAGGGCCTAAAATAAATGATTTTTAAAAGGAAAACGACAAAGCCAATTGATGAACAACTTTTCCCACATATTTTACTATATTTCAAGAGTGCATACAAATTTTTTCAAAATTTTATATCTGTTATTAAGCCCGTGCCAGCCATTTTTTTGGAGCGCCGCGAAAAAAACGGTGACGTCGATTGCAGCCGTTGTAGTTATCTGAAACAAAAAAGCAAAAGGATTCTTAATCTACTTAAGTGTGGCTATCGTCTGAACTAGAATCATGAAAAAATATTTAAAATTTTAAAAATTATAGCAATTATAATTATTTTCGTCTTTTTTAGCAGACGTTTTTTAGCTATAATTTTTTAAATTTTCAATATTTTTTCATGATTCTAGTTCAGACAATAGCCACACTCAAGTAGATTAAAAATCCTTTTGCTTTTTTGTTTCAGATAACTACAATGGCTGCACGCGTGCGGTCACTGTTTTTTCGCGGCGCTCCAAAAAAATGGCTGGCACGGGCTTTAATAACAGATATAAAATTTTGAAAAAATTTGTATGCACTCTTAAAATATAGTAAAATATGTAGGAAAAGTTGTTCATCACGTGGCTTTGTCGTTTTCTTTTTTAAAATCATTCATTTTTAGGCCCTGTCACACTAGGGAAGCCTCTTAAATTGTTATGTTGATTAATGTATGAATTTTGGGTGTATATACATATATTTCTTCATATAAGTATGAAGACGTGTTGCATATTTCAATCGTTATATATTATTCTAAATTATTATAAATGTTTATACTTATATGAAAAGACCCGTGTGCTAAACACACATTCCTACTGCTTACAATAAATAATTATTATACTTGTTAAAAAATTTTTTAATTTATTATGTAATTTGATTTGAATTATTAAAATAATAATTTCATTAAAAGCTGTATTATATTGTACATAAAGAGCGAACTTCTTTATGTTAATAATAAAAACATTAATTAAGTCTGGCGCCTAGTGTCATCAATTTCCCATTACGTGCAACGTATTGATTTTTTGGTGCTTGCTAATCAGTTTTAATTAATATATGTTATCCTGCTTACATTCTATTTTATAAATCCCAATAATGTCTAGTTTCATCTATTTTCAATAAATAGACTAGAAGTGATATAAATATTCCAAATGCTTGTTAGTAGTAAAATTGTATACCCTTCTTTTCTTAATGCCTAATGACAATCAAACATATTGTATATCGCAATAGCAAATTCAAACAATGTGGAATTATTTATTATATCATAAAGAATAATCAAAAAACATTATATTTGATAACACGATTGTTCTCATTACACGGCATAATTTATACTTAACAATTTATATACGATAAGATAAAAATTGTTTTATAAGTAATAGACTTTTTGCAAGAAACATTCTTAGCCCACAAATTGATTTCAATTTGATTACAAATTTGTTGACAAATAAAAGCTATACATATAATAATAAGTCCATAAATTAATCTACTGCATAATGCGCGGGTATACATACATATACCTGTATATACCTATATTTAATTTAAAGATATTTGGTAAAGAAAACTTTTTTTATACACCATTTATGTAAGGAATGTGACTCGCGACCTGCTGACCTAGAGACACTACGACTTGCTCCAAGTATAATGTAGGCTTAGGTTAATGTGCTTCCTTTCGGATTCAAAATGGTGCCAATGATATACGTTATAGGTATCGCATACACTGATATTCGCACAAAATTAATAACGTTAACAAAAAAGAAGGGGTATTCTAAAATATACATTAAAAAATATCTAATATATATACATATATATATACTAATCTCTGCATCTTAATATATGTATTTCGTCTGTTCGATTCGAAAAATCGAATCAGCAAGCTGCGAGCTACGAGCTACGAGCTATACTAGAGTCCCTGAAATACAGAGACAGACATTAGATATCAGACATCAGACTCTGTATTCTAGGGACTCTACGAGCTACGAGCATAGAGATATAAGAATAGAGTGCGCGAGCGAGCTGAAAAAGCGATATAGGAATAGAAAGAGAAAGCTGCGCAGAATAGAAAGAGAAAGCTGCGCATGGGCCCCTTCTGTCTTTGTTTCGCATGCACGCGTAGACAAAGACAGAAAGGGCCTATATGCAGCGTTCTTTTTCTATTCCTATATCGCAGCCTCTTACGTGCTAGCATATGACTCGCGCACTCTATTCTTATATCTCTATGACTACGAGCTACGAGCACACGAGAGAGATTCCGGCGCGGCGCGCGCCGTCGCGCGTCGCCTTGACGATGATGACGACGTCGACGTCGACGTCGACGTCGTTTTGACGTCGGCGCAGTGCGTCGTCGCGTAACCAGAGCCGCTGCGTCGCTTCGGGTCGACGATCTATCCGATGGCAAGCCAGTGTTCCGACTTTTCTCGGCTTTTGCATCGCGTGTGCCGCTTCCGTCCCGACGCCGACGCCGTCGCCGCCGTCGTCGTCGTCGTCGTCGTCGTCGCGTCATCGCGTCATCATTCTCACGATTCCATCCGATCGTTAATATCAGTATTGTTTGATCGCGTAAATCTTGCGTACAGCAGCAGAGTTTGTCGTGTCAAATTTATACGTTAACCAAACGTTGCTCCAAAACGCACCGTTCGAACCCTTCAGTTCGCTGACGACGCGCGACGTCGTCGGGCGACACCCAGAGATGCCCAATGTTGATCTTATGAACGCCATGGCATAAGAAGCCACAGGGACATGTGCCTTTTTGCTTCCTATTGATCGGCGCGTTCCAACCGGCGCGACCATATTTCGCGGGCTGCAAAAGATCTGGTAAGGGCTCACGATTCCTATTCTTTCTCGGTTCTTTTCGAAACAGTCGTTTATTTCGCCGACAGGTATTGCCTACTGTGTGGAATTTAATATTTTATAAAAATAAATTAATGGCGACCTCTAAAGTGTACTATGAAAACAAAATCTCTCTTTTATATTTACACACACACACACACACACACACACACGCGCGCGCGCGCGCGCGCGCGCGCGCATATTTTACATTACAATTATCTTTACTTTAGTAAGGTGCTTAATAAGGTATGTTTTATTCAGCGAGAAAATATTGATGATACGTAATGTTGTTCATTTAAAAATATGCATAAAATGCAATATATATTGGTATCATAATAGAAGTACTTAATCTAATTTTAATTATTAGTAGCAGCTCTTATTATAATATATCTTATTTTTCATACTGTAATAATGATGCTTGCTATTATTACGACAATAAAATTTTATTTTAAAAGTGTATAAATATATATTATTTAGACACTAACTTAATGTGCAAGTAATGTTATAATCTAGAAAATTACCAGGTATCTTAGCGAGTATTGATGCGCAGTATCAACATAGTATAGGTATATGCCGGTAGCCACGCTGCATATGCATCTGCAAAAGAGATAAGGCCAGCAGGAGAGAAATACGCGCTCTTCCGTTTATTATAATTTTTACCGTCATATTTCTATGAGATCACGCTCACACAGTTAAACACAAATATCAAATGCGGCAGTACTACGCATTTATAACAATACTGTTGTGAGATATTCAACACATGCATATTACTTTTCACAAAAATAACGTAACATGTGAAACAATAAGCGCGGGCCTCTATTACTTTCCTCGTGGACAGCTGCTGTTTCCAGAAATGATAACCTGAATACAAGAAGAAAATCATGTAGTAGTCTATGTACATGATACAGCTGCTACTATCATAGTTTGTAGTCATAACGAATTTAACGAATAGTCATTGTACGATATGTATTCGCAATCAAGAGCTTCATAACCCGTTGATTTACAAAAAAAATATACGTTACTATGTCAGCATACTAAATATTTAGAAACGATCTTTATACAGAATGCCGTATAAACTTTCCAGTGGTCCTGTCTGTCTAGTCTCTTCTCGCTTTTACGCGAACTATTTTCGGCATCGCGTATACCGATGCAGCGATACATCGCAAGGCTAAACTCACATTTTATCACGTTGCCTTACTCGATATAGATCTTATTCTTTTTTGTCATCGTATAAATGTATTTTGTCGCGAATATCTCTTTCAGAAACACATTCACACACAAAAGAGAGACAGTGAGAGAGAGGGAGTTTACAAACAACTAATATTATTTCATTATGTACATTATATACCTACACCTATATAATGTACATACAATAAATCCCAATTTTCTAGAAAACTGTATCCGGACAGCTAAAAGGAATATTCACCGACTGAACTATTTATTGTTTGCAGAGAAGATGAAAAAGAATAGCATAGAGATTATAAGGAATAGATTGTCAGAAGTAAAAATTATCTATTTTTAACGTAGCTATAATATTTCCTTACAGATTATTATCATCATTACACATTAACAAAGACAATTATATATAATTATTAAAAATTCAACTATTTATTCCATCTTAGCCTAGATAAATTAAAATCGCTTAAATATATCTTGATGACTGCGATAAGAATCCGAACTTTTTCTTAAACGATCCGCTAGCAGGAACAAGAATGAGTCAATAGCCATTGGGGCGATAAAGCACTGCCTTCTAATCAATGTCCGTTAATGAAATGCACGATAAAATCGATAGCTCTGCATCTACATTCACATCAACGAGAGCAAAGAGAGCCATGTGGGTTATCGACCACAGCTGTCAGCTCCCTGTACCCATACAGTGTACACCCTTAAAGCTCCCCTCACACGAGATCTCGCCGGTTGAGAACAATTGGTACAGCCACTGACAATCCCCATGAAGCATTTCTCTAGTGTGAATAATTGTACAATTTTTTCGCAAATTCTCGACGTGATTTATTGAATACATATACACGTAGTGCCATTGCAGATAAATGATAATTATTTATAATTATTTAAAAATGGGCTGATGCAGAGATTAAGATTTACTGACAAGATATAAAATATATAGCAACAATAATGCTTTGATGCAATAGTACACTGAGAAAGAAGATATTTAGATCCAAAAAAATATTTATTTAGATTGTGGCCAAAAGATTATTTACTTAATATAATACACATATTTATTTAGAATTAAATATTTTATATAGTTATACATTGTAATTTTTTTATGACAAAATGTAATAAAAACTGTAAATATAATTGTTTAAAAAATTATAAGATATTACGATGATTATTATAGGTATTATACCAAATATTAGAAAAACAATGGACGCACTTTTAGCATAGATCACAGTAATATTAATACATACATAGAAGTTGACTTTAGTATTCTATTGAAAGGTTAAGGTCGACGTTATTTAGGTTTGTGATTCATTCATAGTAGTATCGATTGCAGCCTATTCGCGTGACTGAAGTCTCTTATATGATTTCCTTACATAAACCCTGTGTGTACGAGCCCTAAGGACAAATCTTAACACAATGCTTCAAGTGTTTCATTTATAAATGAGTCAGAGAAGAGTGGTGTCTATCAAAAGATTTGTACACTCATGGCATCATGGCATGTGCGTTAGAAACTTATAAGTCGTGGACGACATAAAAACGGCATATTAACGTAATTTCTTTAAAAAAAGAATGATATACATTTTAAAATAAATCGAGCATGTATTTTTAACCTTTTCTCGGTCATAATTATTACGAACACAACGAGACAAAAGAAACTACCAAAGTGATCATGTATGACAGATTCGTGCATATTGGTTGATATATGGCTAAAACCATGTTTCAACGCATTATTACAGAAATGTCCAACTCTTATAAAAGCTTTTTTTTAGACTTTAAAACAAAACTTTTATTCAAGAGTTAATCATAAAGATATTTAAAGTATGATTTTAAATAATTACAAAGTTATGTAATTAAGTGTTACTGACAGAAAGTTAATTCTAAATAGCCGAAAAGATTTATATAAACAAAAGTACGGACAATCTGAGACACACATAACAATATGCATGTAGTTACATAATTAAATACTAGTAATAATTGATTTTTACCATTGTTTAATATTGTCATCATTATCATCATTGCATAAGCATAACGATATGAGATATGAGATGCGAATGTCATCTTTATACGAATCATAAATTACAACTGCAGACACAGTACAGTAACTCGGAAATTGGTAGCAATTGACAACAATTAAGGCCAAAAGTCGGAACTGTCGTGATTTTATATCGTGTCAGTAATACACAATGACAAACAATGTTATCAAACTTTGAGTTTAAAATAATGTGCAATATGATTGATGCGGTTTTGGAAACAACATGCATTTCTCGTAACAATATACGCCTATCAAACAACGCAAGTATACACAAACTCTGTAATAAAATAAAATAAAAAATATATATATGTATGTATTTTGTTGCAAGGTAGTAAGACGAATAATGTCAGTGGTAGAGTTTTTGGACAGATGTTTAGTCCACGGCGCAAGGGTCCAGTCCCCCTATGGAGAGTTATGCCGAGAACTACCCTCCACTGATGATTACGGCATATGAGTGCTGCATCGGCAGTACCCACGACAATAGTCCCACTATTGCTACCTCTAGCCCTTCTGAGCTTAAAGGACACGTGACATGTGCTCGCTTAGGAACAAACGCGCGCACACACACACACACACGCGCGCGCGCGCGCTTAATGCACGTGCCATGTTCTAAGCAAAATTTGTCAGACTCCCTTGGCCTGTCTCAGTGTTCGGTTTATTACATGGACGCCTCAAGTGAATGAAAATTCATAGAAAAAAAATGAATACTGCACCAGTTCCAAAGCTGTGTTAAAATTCGTATATGTGATTTTATTCATAAAACATAATCTTGTGTCACCAGAAGTAATTCCACGTAATAAGTAAAATTAGTAATGAGTGTTATTAAAATAATAAATGTTATGTTTGTGACATGCAGATTCGGACTCACATATTTAAGTTACCGGAAATTGTTGAATTAAACACAATTTACTGCTTACGGACGGTGCGTGTTAATTCAGTTGTAAAACAAATTGTGACTTTATTTTTGTGCAATGTTTGCATCCGTATAAAAATATACAAAGTACAACAAGATGGATACTCAAAGGTATAATTTGTTATTAAAGATATAGTAGTGCTATAATTATCTGATTATTTAAGAAGTTTATATATGAAGTCAAAAATGTTAATAGACTGATAAAGAGCGCTTATGAAAAAATATGTATTGCTTAAAATTTTATGTTCAACAATATATTTCAAAAAGAATCCTATCAGTTTCGAACAGTTGTGATATGTCTCTTGTGAGAAATGCTCAACCTTTGAAGCTTGAACATTTCAAAAAAGCAGACAATGCATAAATTTAATGATGCAATGTGGGTGCAACGCAATGCTAAGAGAGATTCTTTACATTGAGATATGAATAAAATGTCGAGAGAGAAAGAGAGAAAGAAAATATATAGTAGACAGAATACTACTATAGAGACCGCAGAAGTGCAACATTTAATGCATATATGCGAACAGTTTAAGTGTCATTTTCTAATGTAAACGAATATACTTATTATCGTTATGTAATGGGCAATTGTGAAGCGGAAGTAGCCAATGGTTTCATTGTCGACGCGTGAACTCTGCGATACAGACATTGGATTTATTTTATTACTGGATAATATTTATAACTGCCATATTATATCATATTGTTATTTATTAATATTATACTATTCCACTGTACATCAATGTATCACTACAAAATCAAAGAAATAAGAAGTAAATTTTTATCTCTAAATTTTATACTTTATTTACTATATTTTAATTGATACTTATTATTATTAAAAAATCGCAAATGCTATTAATTAGTAACCAA